TGTTAACATATTATTTTGTGGAAGTATACTCTTAAATATGTCTTGTGGGTGTTTTGCAATGGAGAATAATTGTGCTTGAGAGCTGCCAGTACTCTCTGAAGGTAAAGCTTTTTAAGCCTAATTGAGTTGTTGAATGCGCTTTGGAGGAGAGAAAACCGAACACAACTTTCACAAAAGATCAAACAAAACATTGGATGTAAAATGTGCAATAGAACATAATAGAGTAATACAGCAGAGAGTAATTCTGTCAAGACAATATGGGAAAAGAAAAATTGTATGGCCTTTTTGTTGCAGAACAGTTCTTATTCCCATACCTTTGTGCACGACTTTTGTATTACTGATTTTTTTTCTAACTGGAGGATGTGTGCATAGAGATTGAGTACTGCACTTGTTACATCTGCCCACCAGGCATGGTCTGAGGTATTAAGGTAGAATGTGATGGGGGAAAAAACCTGGTTTTTGAGGGCAAAGTAGAGCATTGTAGACCAGGACAAGTCTGGTACTGGGAGTCTGCTGCCAGTTGCTGCGGGGTTTGTCCTGCTCCTCACTAATCATGACAACGAGCAATAATCATTGAGAAAATGACAGTGAAAATATCCTGAGAAACCAACAGAGGAAAAACTTTTGCTCACAAAAAGTGGTCAGTAAAGAGGCAATCAGATATTTGGGACGGGTCTCAGCCAGGTGTGACAAGAAAGGAGCATGGGTTTATTATCAGATGTTTTTTGTGTAAATATAGAGAGGGAAAGTAGCTTGAGAAATTCAGGCTGTTTATTTGTAAGGTTTATTTTCAAGGTTCCTGAAGTGCTACTTTATAAAAATAAAATGGCTTTTTATTGTATACTAATAGTGAAAATTGGGTTATGCCACTTTGATAAATAGAAGAGGAAAAATGAGAACAGACTTTTAGGAGGATATTTAGGCTCTGGTCGTATTTAATGTTCCACAGTTATTTTCTAGATCAATGTTGACTGAGAGACATAAGACTTATGGGTGGAGGAAGCAACTCTTATAAAACATAAGGAAGTTTTCATATGTACAAAAACTCCCAAAAAACCCAACCATAAACAAGGTGCTGTCACTTAAAGGGTGGAGCACATCTTACATGGTTGGTTGCCAAACTTCTTGTGATGCTGACTGGAAAATGCTAAACAGCAAAATGCCAGAATACCTGTGAACTAATAAGATTGGGAAGCATCTATTTAAACTACGAAGGGGAGAATTTTAAAAGAAGAAAACTGGAGATGAGGGAAGAGAGAAAGAAGAGGAGTGATGCTTGTTCCTTGTCGTTCCGATTGGGAACGGCTATAAAGAATGACAAAACTCTCAAGGGAGTTTCAACATGAGAATTCTCTGGTTTATTGCTCTAGGCTTGTCTTATAGACAGATACGTGGAAAGGTACAGAAAGGAAACTCTTACTGGTTAGCAAAGTGCTACATTACCATCATTGGTCAGGGGCACTCATCACCCCCCTGGCCTTCTCCTGCAAGAGAAAACAAGACTGCAAAACAGCACCTGCAAGGCTGTTTAGTGTCCCTGAGGATTGTTTTGAAATCCTCCTTTGAATTTCTCAGGCTAGCTTCTCAGGCAGGACTGAGAGGCCATGGGCCTGCAGTTTCTGCAGCTCCCTGCAGCCTGTTCCAAAGCTAGCATCCATAGTTCCTGGATTGCTGGTGGCTGTGAGCAGTTTTAGGACAGCCCAAAAGAGGGACTAGGACTGAGAAGAGGAGGATATTTGGTGGACAGGCTCTTTCCAGGGACAAAGACCTGTCCTGTGGGGCCAGGTGTGCTCTGCTCTGGGATCCTGAGGAGCAGAACCTCTGGCTGCTCTGTGCAGAGGTGCCTCCCAGCTGTGGCAGGGAAGGGATCTCCTCAGGGCAGGTTCCCCAAGGGGCTGTTGGGCTGGGAGGGAATTTAGAGAAATATTTAAAATATGCAGAAGGCAAGGAGCTGCTCTGAACTGCATATTCCTCATGGGAGAGCGGGTCAGGAATTGCAGTGGCTGTTTTCTCAGTTTTCAAAAGGTGCTGCCAGGATTTTCACTGGAATCTAAAATCACCTGTATCATCACTGGCTTTTGGCTTAAACCGGGGCTTGAGACAGCAAACCAAAAACTGCTACTCACTCATCTTTGAAAGGCAAGGACAGAAAACAGGTTTCTTTCTCCCTGCCAGCTACTGTGGGAGGATTGTATTTTAAGGAAATGCATAGGAAGAGCACAGGAAATTCACACAGGTTTTACCTTTCCAGATATAACTGTGGTGTCTGATAGGGACTAAAATTAACTTAAAGTTCTAAAGATTTACTTACAAAAGATTTTCTTTTCCTATTTTTTGGTAAGGCCAAAGATTGTAGGTCATAGTCTGCTCTCTCCTGTCTGATAATTGCAAAATCCATTACTATCCCTTCGAGATGCTTTTTTTTTTTATCAAAGGCTGCACTAAATCTGAATAAAAGCCTAATAAGTAGATTAGTTAGAACAATAGTCCTCCTGAGGATGGTTGATTCCAAGTGTAGCTGCTAGAGATAACCCTAAATGCAATTAGGTTTAACTCCCTGTGAGTGTCAAAGGAAGGTAATACCCACGGAGACTTCCCTTCAGATGACACTATTTTAAAGTGTCTTAACATTTAAATATTCTTTCCTTTGGGCATTGCTGACAAATTTCTTTTCTTTTTTCTTTTTTCTTTTTTTTTTTTTTCAGTTGTTGGGGAAACACTGCTTGGCACCTTGGGCTTTAGCCATTAGTTCGAGGTGTTTCCTATAAAAAGAGGGATGGTTCAGCTTCCTTGGGTGAACAGTTTGTTGTCCTCATCTGTGTCCTTTATAAAGATCAAATATCCCAAGGTGGCCACAGACAGCTGAAAGAGAAAATGGCAGATTCAGTTACATACACAAGTTTAAAGGGTACTGTGGTAAAATGAAAATAGATGAATTGTTGATGGATTAATTCTGGGTTTCCTCACAAAAGAGAAATGAAAGCTAACGTTTTCTATGTCTGTGTTAAAACTGAAATATAGACATTAAGGATTTCAAAACTTTGCATATTATAGGATGGGATATAACAGAAATAGTATAATTTCAAACTACTAAAATGGTTTAATTTAGCTCTGAGTACTGCAGAAGACTTGCACTGTGTTTAAGAGTTTGGTTTCATTTTCACATAGAAAAAGAAAAGGGAAAAAAGCTTAACAAAACAATTCCATGACTACTTCTTTGCTATATTCCTGCATATGCATGTGTTTAGTTATATTTAATTTCTCCCATTTTCAAAATATTAAAATAATATCAGCATCTAGTATTTTGTTTCAGGGAGAAATTGCTGATAATACCGAAGAAATTTGCAGTATTTTTTTTTTACCAGCATTTTTACACTGATATCCAAAATGTTCCGCTCTTCACATTTCTTTTCTTGATTTATATGTTGTTGTTTGAATTATCTTTCTTGATAAGTGTCCCTGAAATTTTATTTTTTTTCCTTTCTTGTTTTTAAATCAAAAGTCTGTACTATCAAAATAAAGCTCAGCTAATTAGATGTGAGCCAAAGCACCCAAAAATGTCTTATAGTTGTACCTTATCAAAATTTAACCTCATGTGTGGCAGGGAGATATTGAACCAGTTCAGTAAATACTACCTGGCTTTTATTGTTTGTAACTTGTCCCTTGCAATTCCTTTCCCCCCAAAGCCAGAGATGTAAGACTCAGGAGCTGTCATTCTTTCACATTATTCCACTTGAAGCAAAGTATTTTTGCTCCTAACAAACAGCTAATTTGTTGCCTAGCATGCAAAGTGGTTTATTTTCTATTGTCTTGGTCAGCCCTTTTTTCATTTGTGTCAATGTTTGTTGCCTTTTTTCTTTGCATATAATAAATTGCTGTGTTTACAGAACACATTTTCACTGCTGATTTTTTTGAGTCTTGGGTGAAAGATTAAATTAATATCTCATAAATATTATGAAGGATTTGAACGTGAGATGCACTAAGTAAAATTATTTTCCAGTGAAAACTTACAGACAGTGAAAAACAATAATTAGAGTGACCATACATTAATTACTGGGCTTCTTGTCTTGCTGGCTTTTGCAAGGAAAGTCATGTAAACAAATAAGAATAGGTTTTATGTTTCCTGTTTACTACATCTGAAAAGTTTCCTGATGTTATTATGAAATTCAGTAATAATTTTCAATTGATTCTGAACTTTTCAAATGTAAGAGTACTCCCTGATTATGTCATGTTTTCAAAATCCAGGATTACTTTCGTTCTTTTCTATTTAGTCTAAGAGAGAGTAAATTCAAAAGTAAAAGGGCTTTTTGTATGTATGTATTAAAATCTGTTTTCCTAAAGCTGGAGCTTTTTTATGAGACAAAAAAGAAAAATCTTCTTCAAACAGCAGAGTTTCCCTGGTTCCTGTCTAGTTGAGATGAAGTAGAATGAGCTTGATTATGTTGAGAGTCAATACAAAAGTCACAATACTGCTGCAATAAACTTGTAAGAAATTATTTATTATAGCTGAAAGTGTCCATTTTTTCAAATGTATCTTAGGAGTCGGTTTTTAAGGAACAAAAATATCTTTTAGAAGAATGTAATGATATGTTTTTATTAGGAGTAATAAATAGTACACTGAAAATAAGTTGGTATGACTTAAGCATCTCCTGTATGGAAACTCTGCTGGGCTTTGGGTGAAGTCCTTCCCAAAGAGATTTTTAGAGAGATTTTTATGCACTCAGGCCTTTGTGTGGTTAATGATGCTGACAGTGGGTATGTGGACTGCCTGCAAAGCAAGATTGCACCAAACTACTGCTACTCAATCTGCTTTTTTATGTCATTGATAACAAGATAAAAGAATCTCTAGATAATAATGAGTAATGTATTTTACTTGCTATTGAGGAATGCTTTGGGTGGGAGGTGGTGAAACATTCTATTGGCTGTATTGCACCAAAGGTGAATGGAATGGGAGAAAAGAAGAGCCATATCTAAAATGTTATTTGTTTTATTTCATTTAGATTTTCACACACACCTTTCTGAGAAATTGAAAGACAGACAGACAAGCTGGCAGCAGCTGGCTGAGACAAAGAACTCTCTAATACGTAAGGTTTTTATTTTGCTTCAACTGTATTCCTTGTAAACTTAGAACCTAGTTTAGAACTTGTGTGTTGTGCTTAATCTTGTTCTGTGTGTGTTCTGCTTATTATGTCTTGTGGGATTTTGGTTGGTTGTTTTTTTTTCTTCCTGGGTACTCATATTCTGTTGAATAAACCTGATTTCTACTACTCATTTCTATCTCATTGTTGAGTATTACCTTCCTGGTTGGATTGAACTAATTTAGGGGTTTTTCACTGCAAGACTTGGCTGGGTAGTGAAGGAGCTGCTTTCCCTGAGCTGATCTTGTTTCATGGTGTGGAGTTCATCCCATGAGAGGAGGAGAGCTAAGACATGGAAGAGACACCAGATCTGGGTACTCACAGGCACAACTTTAAAAGAAAATGGTAGCTGCAGCTGCATTTTCACAAAGGCAATTGCACATGTTCTATTCCAGTGGTAAAGGTTTGCAGGAGACACAACTTTCTTGAGAGTTTCTTCGATCAGACTTATAAATGTAAGATTCAGTGATAACTCTGTTCATCTTCAGTCTTGATTTGAATTTTTTTGATCTGATGAGATCAAAAGTATGAGATTTAGACAGTCACACTTGATGTGCCCCTGAAGTTTTGTATATTAGGGGCTGTGCAAAACAATCTGGGAGTTTGTTGGTTTTTGTGGGTTTGTAGGGAATTGTGCATTGCTAGACAGGGGTTTTTGAAGCACCACTGCTCCCCACACACATTCACACTTTTGCTCCCCTGAGAGTAAAACTCCTTTGGGAGGAAGATGATGTTTGGGAGAAAAAAAAGCCTGAAAAGCACTTTTTTAGCAAATGAAAACATTTTTAGCCAGGCTGTAGTAATATAAATCAAAAGACATCTCAAGGAATTTTAGTACAAAAATAACGATTCAGTGACATCTTCCTCTTGATAATTCTTGAATTCAAAAATTATTTTAATTCACTGGATATGTACACTCACTACAGTGTCAGCATGTGCCCTTGCTAAATTAGCAAGGGCTGTTTTTAATAAAGCCTTTTGTCCTCGACTTGGCAGATTTTACCTTGTATTTGATTGCCTAATGAGATGAAAGATGGATTTTGTTATTCTGCTCTTTTCTTCCACTGCACCTCTGACCTAGTACATACATGAAAGATAACTTTCTGTTTGGGCATTTTTTTAAAGCACTTAAGCAAATGCTTCCAAGATGAGGCCCTAACCAGGAATAATACTCTGCTTGCTTCTATTCAAGTGGGACCTAAAGCGAGGTTTAGGTCTCATCACCCTCATTTTCTGATGTACTTCTTTCATTAATTGCCTGATTTTTGGTAGAAACTAGTGAATGGCATTATTCTTTGACTCTCAACCAGTGTCTGGGCAAATGCTGAAACAGTTTCTTAAATCAGATTCTGGAAAGCACTGAGCATCTGTGACCATTTCCTGGTTAATGCAGCCTGTGATGTTCAGTGTGTTTTCAAACTGGAGATAAGGACTGTTTGTTGTGTTTCCATGCTTCTTACAAGAGTGGCAGCCGGAGCTATTGGTAGAGTAATTCAGTTTCCACAGTGCTGATGTACAGTGCTAAAACCTGACCAAGGTGTTTTGTGTATGGTTGGTAATAATGATGGAATTAATAAAGAACAGAAATGATCCTGTACATATCTTTGCATTTCTGAAGCATTCATGATTATTGCTGTTGCAGGAGGATTTTGGCACAGGTGAAATGAGTGGGTTATGCTATTTAGGCTGTACTAAATCTCAAAGAATAATGCTTGCATGCATTTCCCAGGATCACAGAACGTTTTTTTTCCTAACAAATTGCATCCAACTGAACAATGTCTTTCCTCATTTGAAGCTTTGAGGCTCTTATAGAAAAAAAATACTGTTTCTCTTTGGTTTACTTTTTTTCCTTGCAACCTGATACTCTTCCCAATTCAAACAAATTTTAATGATATATTGCTTTCAATTTCTGGTACTGTGTTTGTTCAGGGCTCTAGAAATTAAGAAGAATGTGAGAATGTATTAATAACTATATCACAAAAATACTTGATAGCATTAATGCTTGCTACTGGCTTGATTTAACATGCATTTAAGAAAATAATTGAACTGAGACAACAGAAAATCTTTGTACCTTTTATAACTTTTATGAGTCTAATTTCTTGGACATGGTAAATCTGATCTGAGCAGTGCCATAGTTTGTTGAATGCTCTAAATATGGTGAGAAAGGTGCAGTGATCTTGTTGACCCAGATGTTCTGCCTGGCCATATCAGCCAAATCTTTGATGTTAATAATTCCAGGGACTTGACCAAAAACAAGCTTTATCTCCGCTCCTTTTAAACAGTGCCATAGGATTTTTTACATCAGTCTGGATGCTGCCAAAACCAAACAGATGGCACTAACCTTGGTTTAAAGCCTCAGCTGGCTGAGAATGCATCCAAATAGAGTTGCAAAGCTTGCAGTGTGCATGTTGTGTCACCAGAAGAGGACTCTTTGTACCAGTGTAAGCAGAGCCCTCAGACTTTGCATTTCAAAGGTACCCAGTTGTCATCTGTGCTCATCTAGAGCACGGATTGCTTGCAGGGCTGTAATAAATTGATAGGTTTCTTGATCTGCTCTGCCTTTGCTTTGCAAAGGTCAAAGATGCAGCCACAAAAAAGGAGGTGAAGTGCTGAACATGGGTGTTAGAATGGTCAGCGGTTCAGAAGGATTGTTGTCAGATCCGTGTGCTGACTCTGGAAGGAAAGTAAATAAAAATGTCTTAATAGTATTTGGAGCAGTCCTAAACCTCACCATTTCTGAGTACTCCTTGTCTGGAAGGAGAATTTTTAGTAGATTTAAAAAACTGCAACTAGCTACCTACCCCAACCCCACCCCACCCCCCAAAAAAAAGTCTCAAATCTATGTCAAAATAAGAATTTAGAATTAAAAACAAAATCCAACAAACAAAATAACTAGACCAGCCCTGGTTTCTTTTCAGAGCTGTAAAACAATGTAGCAAAATTTGAGTGATTTATCAAAATAATTAATGCTTTTTAAGCATTGCAGAAGTATGATGTTGAGTATATATATATATATATAAAGAAAAGTAAAAGTGTGCTGCTTAAGGTATGATGTGAATAGGACACTGAGAGGCCTCATTAAATGGCAAAGGCAAAAGGGTAACTGGTGTATATATATATATATTTTATATATATATATGTACTCCTGGTATAATGTGTGCAAGCCAACCTGAACTGGAGTGCAGGAGAGGACTTGACAGGACTGAGTCCATCAAACCATATTGCAGTGCACTAACAGGGGAGTTTTAGGTACAAATTCTAGAGGATGCTCTTTCAAAACTACACTGCCAAGACCTGGGTTTATCATGGGATTTTAGCAGTGATTTCTTTAAGAAAAAGTTTGGGTTATGCAATTACTCTTCATGCAATTGTTTTGTTAAGAAACTGTCAGCCAGAGAAAGGAAACCACAGAGCCAAAAGTGTGTGATAAAGTAAAATAGCGACAATGTAGGAAATGCTGAGGGAGAAGTAAAACTCTCTTGCATAGTGGGTCCTAGAAGGAAACAAGCTGACAGTTCTACCAGGTGCCTTTGCTAGGAGCAGTGTTCCAGAATTTGTCTGAACAGCACCAGTATTGAAATAAAGGATTTGAAATTTGCTGAAGAAACAAAAGAGGTTGTGTGATGAAAGGCTGAGCTGCTGGCAAAAGACTCCATCACCTGGGATTTATACGAATCAATCTCCTGTGTAATGCACCATTGTCCTAAAAATTGGAAGCTACAAACAGAAGACATTTTATTATAAGGGGTTCTGTGACAGCTTATCAAAAATAGCTTTTCCTCTTTTTGCATGAAGCTTCTACCTTAAAGATACTGATGAAATAGGTGACAATTTTTAACACAAGCGGTGACAAAATAAACACCATCTGCTAGTGTTGGCTTATTCCATAGTCTTCTCATGCTGGGTGATTTTATTTCACCTTTTTTCAGAAATAGTTAATGACACATCTGCTGTGTGGTGGAGGTGCATTTTTGGTAATTAAATGTGGACACAGGATCAGAGAAAACAGTAACAAAACTTTTCCAGGAAACTGAAGAAAATATTAATGCCACAAGGAGCTAACAAACAAACTGTTGATACTTTTTTTTTTATTATTATTTTCACTTGTTTTATTGTTTGATCAAAAATTTCAAATTATACTTGTTCTTTCAAAATACATATTTATCATGGAAAACTTCTCATTTGGCCTTGATTTTACCAAAGCAAAATTTTTGCCACTATGACATTCGTGGTCCTCCAAGCAAGCCTGGTTTTGTAGCACATCTGTGAGTCTGGGAATGTGAAGTCAGAGCAGGTTTGGGTGTCCTGGGGGATCAGGGTGAGATTTGTCTACATAGGAGAATATATTTAAGGGAGCATAATGTACAGTGGGACCTGGAGAACAAAATAATCAGGTTTATCTCAAGGTCCAGTTGAATTGTGGACAATACAAAACCGTCCATCCATGCAGGGTTGTTTGCTTGTGTGGAGTTTGTCTTTATCCTGTGGAGCTCCGTGAATCCATCCTCCTCCCAAGCCCCACTGCAGGGCACAGTGTCACTGGGACTCCCTGCTTTATTTTGGGAATTCCCAAAGTTGGAATTCCTGCTGCTTTGTGTCAGACTGCTTTCTTCCCTTTGGCAGGGCAGGGTAGTCCTGTGGGTGAAAATCCCTTTTGTGTGTCCCTGAAGAGGAATCTCTCCCATCACCCCAGGATGTCCCACTTCTCCCTCCTCAGTCAGCAAGGAGAATTCTTTCTGATGGGAATTCCTATTTAGCACTTTGCTGCAGAGGCATTAGCATAATGATCCAGAAAAAATCCAAGCAATTAGGCTGTTAAACCTGTGTTTACTGTGCCAAATCGAACGTCCCTACGCTGTTATCAGTGTGAGTAGATTTTAATAAATCCAGAAAACTAAATGTCTGCATCTCCATGTGGATAGGTGGATATTTATTTTTAATATTTA